TATTTTAACTACATTGCATTTGAGTATGGAGAGGCAACTATCTGGAAGTATTTTACATAAAAAATTTACTAAGTATTGCCCGGTTTGTAGTTGCAGTTAAAGAAAACACATGAAAAGGCACGATTTTTTTTAAATTCGAAAAAATGTAAATATTTCAAAAACGGTGACACTTTTACCTGAAAATTTTTTGTTTATCAGTGAGCTCACCCCCCCACCTACCTTGCCCTAAAGTTTGGCACGTTACTTCTGGGACACCCTGTATGTATATATATTCATATTTATGACACTACCTACGTGCGGATAAATGTACTTAATTCACTTTTATTTATTAATAGAAAATCATGTGAATAAACATTGCAAACACAAAATGAAAATATTTTAGAAAAAACAAGGCAGCTGTGTTTTGCCGCTCAATTGGCCAAATCGGTCAAGTTCAAAGCAATATTTTTCTACGACTCGCTAAATTGCGAGTATACACCTGCCTCAACCAAAGCAGCACAGCGAGTGTAGATGCGGAAAATTATTTTAAAATAGTCTAGAAATATGTTTAGATAAATATAATATATTAGTAGGTACCTCTGTGGTGCATATTGACATATCGTCACCCTTATGCCAGAAGCATGAATGTGCAAATTTATCAGTTTTGAGTTATTGGCTTGACTTGATTAACCTTTGGATATTCTATGATATACCAAAACCCAGAAAACCATGCGTACACGGAAACCACATACATATTTTACAATTTCAATTGCATAAATGTAGAGTTAAGTCTCATACAAAAAAACGTTCAAAGTTGATTTCCCAAAATTTTCATTTTTGCACATTCATGTTTCCGGCATACGGGCGACGATATTGCTTTCGAAAACAAGCTTTTGTTTTGGAAAACTTCTTTAGCTCGAAATAAATACATCACAAAAATACTGGCAGTAAAGGAAATAATTAAGATGCCATCAAATATACGATATCAACTATGAAAGTAAAAGAAAAAACACTGATATACACAGAGCACATTCATGCCTACAGTTTGAGTCACTTGTTTGCGTCATTTGAATTTAATCGTAGAAAACGGGGCTCNCCCCCCAAATTGTCGCATATTGTGCGGATAAAATAGGCAATGGAATTTTTAAATTTTTAAAAACATATTTTAATAAATATGCAGTGTCTGTGTACGAAATGGGAATGTTTAATTGCGTTGTTGTTCATCAGCTCGTCAATATGCCATAAATATACACTTGGCGACAAATGAAAGTGTACACCTCTATCTAATATTATATTCACAATTATTTTCATGAAAAATTTATTGCATTATTTATTTATGAAAATATAGTTCTTTCTATAATATAAACCATATGAATCAAAGTTTCACACTTTATATAAAGTTCACACAAATTCAAAAAAATTTTAAGCAAATTTTCAACTTTTTATTGAGAATTTCTAAATAAATAAATAATGCAAAAAAATGTTCGAGAAAATAATTATGAATATTATATTTTAACAAGGTGTACACTTTCATTTATCGCCTAGTGTATGCGTTAGCAGTATTTAGATATCTATATACTTGCACATTAGAGTGGTCCAAATTTTGTATGGTACCCCCATTTGAATTTAATCGTAGAAAACGGGGCTCCCCCTTGTTCTTTTCTTGTCGGTATTTGTACTATCTACTTAGAAACGTAAAATTTGGCGCCAGCACCTCTTTCGGCAAGAGCAAAAATTTTCGAAGGTGATCCCAGCCCTATCTTAGGAAAATTGTTTTTAGACCACTCTAATGCACATATACATAATAAAGTCTGAATTTGTGTAAAACTCGTAATTTTCGAGGCTGTTACGGAAACGCCCTTTTTGCAAATGTGTAAATGAGTGCGAAAAATAACTGTTTGACAGGTTAACCAGGGTTTTGTGAAAAAAGGCAACCAGTTAGCTCGAAGCTAAAATATAATTTAAAATGTCAAAAATTTGTAGAAAACCCAAGTTTATACATTGGTGGATGAAATTCATTCATTTTATTCACTTATTATTTTTTTTCGTTTGTTTTCATTGTTTTATCATACATTTTAGTATTAAATTTTCCGCCCCTCGGCAACACCTTAAACCTTAAACTTACGAGGTTTACGAGGCTTTTACGACGTTAAGCGAATACCCCTAATACAATATTCCGGATTTATCAAACACTCATTTCTGTGCAAAAACACAGCTTCACTAAATTTTCGCGACATTTTCTGTTTGTTTTTTTTTCAGCTAAATATTTACTCTGCACACATTATCCGTGTGTCTTACGTCCAAATGTGTATGTAAACTTTTATTTTACTTTTTCTTTGCTACTACACAAGAAGTCATTGAACGGTGTTGCTCTGGCTTGTGCAGCGGAAAGTGACATCTGCAATTATTTAATACGCTAGATAAATAGATCTAGGCCAGTTACCTTAAAACTCGCTCGGACGAACGGATTTGCAAGTAATACTTCTTGAACTTACATATTGTTTACAACGGAAACTTGACATCGTAGAGATCAAGGTGCATCTTGGTGGATTGCTTTGCAGTATAGGGCAGGGTTAATTGACCGCTTTGGGCAAACAAACGCATAACAATACAAGTAGCTGGTACGATTTTTTTTTCATATGCACGTGGTAGTCTATTGATTTTAGTCGTCATAGGATATCGTTCATGGTTTAACCGGTCATTGTCCGTTAGAAACTCATGTAGTGAGGTTTAACCAAGGCACATCCATGCAAGGTGGTGGCAATTGCATATAAGTAAAAGTCCCGTGTATTTTGTTATTTCTTTTTAGTACACCAAGTCTTAACTGCAGTTCATGCCTATTGGAAAAATGAGATTACAACTCCAAAGGGGTAATTGCTCATATTCAGTGATCGGACTTCTACCACATTGTGGTAGATCTGCCACGTTTTTGAGCATCTACCACATCTACCACACAAGGTCTGAAATCTACCACATATTCGCGTTTTTGAGTAGTTTTATTTTTGCTCGACATAATTTTCTTAATTTTAAGAGCAAAAATTTTCCAACACTAAACACTAACAATTCGATTTTTCGACAGGAAACTGGGTTTTATTGTGTTAAATTGCAAAATATATGATTTATAAAAAGAATTAATAGCGAAAATGTTAAAAAACGGCAATTTTTGTGAAAGTATTAGCAAGTTTCAGTGCTTTTAAAGCTTCTAAAGCGATGTTTACTTTTACTTGAGAATTGTCAATATCGGCAAATCCCAAGTAGCTGTTTTTGGAACGTGCCACATTTGTGCGCTACATCGTGATGTGATAAAAAGAAAAGCTGGCAGCACTCCGCAAGGTTGCAGAAATCTTTCAAAATATGTTCGAAAAATATCTTGATATGGAAGGAACTGCTTTACACTGCAAGGAAAGAAATTGCCAAAACTCAAAGCAATTTTTAGCAACTTCAATCTTGCACTTTAAAATGCACTTGCACTAAAATATTTGTTTTTAGATTCTAATTAAAAGGTTTGCAATTTAGGTGAAACCTTGCAGAATTTTTTAAATTTTTGTACAAAATTTAATCCAAAACCTGAGATCTACCACATTTTTTTGAAATCTACCACATTTTTTTCCAGATTCTACCACACAATCTGGTCCGATCACTGCTCATATTAGGTAATGCGCGGTAAGCCATGCGATATTAGTGAATCACGGTTTTTATTTCGCAGCTCAGTAATGGTACACTCTGATCTACCTTCCCCACTACATATCTGACGCAACTCGTGATTTCTAACGATCTGTTCGTCTATGATATATCTCATCTAAATTTCGTATAAATGAATAATCGTTGTAAAGATTGGTTTGATATTGTTTCTTGAAAACGGAAAATGGCACTGAAGATGGCGCTCCGAACCAAACTTGCCCAGTGATGACTGAAACTCGTTCAAATCCATAAGATCATCAAATTCTAATAAATTTTGTACTTTTGTTAGTTGGCGTGTGTGTAGCGTGTCAAAGCAGTCTCTATTCAGCTTGGATTTGTTAGTCCTGTTTGAAAGAGCCCATAGGGCTGCTTGGCTATCTGAAAAGATAACTAAGCCTTAAACACCGTGGGCCATTTGCCCATGGGAATTGCAAGTTTGGTGGTGCTCTGTCCACCATTCTTGAGATCGCAGATCAAGTGCAGGGAGTCCATTTTTATCATTTATCATTTTGTATCTTCGCGATCGGGGATTATCACTTGGAATTTTCTGCCAAAGCAGACCTCTTTAGTCATGGAATCAGAGATTCCGCATATTTCCAACCCTGGTATCTTCCAAAGAATAACTGCATAAAGCTTCTTTGCGTAGAAGCCGTCGTTAGATAGTCGAAGTTGCAGCTCCCTCGTGGCTGCTGTTTCCTGGATAAAAATATTGAAGAGCCCATCCCAAGAGCGACTCTAGAGGCGCAGTTGAACACATTCTTATAGGTCCAGTGACGGATAAACATGCCAATCTTTGCAGTTTGTTAAGCCGAAGTATGGCAATTTTTTGCAGTGTTTTCATAGGTGTTTTTTGTTTAATTAAAGCTTATAGTTACTTTTTCATTAAACAATTTTTTTCCAACTACATAAGTTGTTCTTTTAGAACACCTATTTACCTCATTTTCTTATCTTCTTTCAGGTCGGTGGTCACACCCGTCTTCTATTGTTGAATCAATCGACTGTCATAAAGCCGTTAAATTTGCGTGAATTGGACTTTTATCAAAACATTCCGCACGATGTACAGAAGTTTGTGCCCAAATACAAAGGTAAGCAGACGGCCATTTATTTATTGAATTAAATACGAAGAAATTAGGAAATCTAGATATGTAAGATATAGATAGATATAGTTGCTAAAAATTAAAAAAAAAAAATAAATAAAATAAACATATTTATTACAAAAAAAATCAATGAATGATACTACATACTAAATACTTATGTACATACATACATAATAAATTTCGACAATAGTAGTCTTCAAACTATCGTGAAAAATAAATAATAATAAAGGTTATTGCTTAATGCTATCCTTTTTAAAAAAAATATAAACTAAACTATAAATTCTAATTAAACGCCCCATTTTATTTGTGCGTCTGCTAATTGCGAACGCGATAAGTGAAACGAGCGCTAATAGATTATCGATCAATCACATACTATGTAGAATTAAATATCATTACTTAGTTTTACATATATAATTCATATATGTATGTACTTAGCACACGTTTATTTGTCTGCTCGTGTAAATTCCTTTCAGCATCTCACATCAAGTACCCAGTTACGGGTACGGTTCATCACATCAAGTACAATCGAAAAAAAAAAATAAAATCATTAACCAATTCGCAACTCATCTCTTCATATGTGTGTCTCTTTTTGTGTGTTTTTCTATTCCTTTTTCGTTTATTTCTAGCACTTGTAAGATAACTAAAAAATTTATGTATATAATGAGAAAATTGTATATGAACTTATTTAAGTTTAAACATTTCTGTGATAGCATTTACGATACTTAATAAAATATAACTGTTTCTATGCAACTTATATTTTATTATAGTTAGATAAACATTTTACGAAATAAAAAAATGTAAATATGAGCAGTGAATAATAAAAATAAAATTAAAATAAAGCTAGAAGATGGAAAGAGAGAAGAGACTTCTGTATAAAAAATATTAAAGTACTTACAATTATGTGTAATTTAATAAAGTTTTATTAGTTTAACGCTAGAGCAAGTAAAGAAAATTCAATTTCACATACACATTTATTTTGCAAATTGTATTTTTAATGTTTGATATGTGTAAACTATATTACTTCTTGCCCACCGCGATTTTTAAGAGACATTTTACACTACATTGAAAGAATACTTAAGGGATTTTGAGGAGTTCTTAATAAAACAGCTGCAGGAAAATGTATTTATAAATGACAGATTCCTTCAAATTCGCAACGCAAATAAAATTTTCCTACAGATTTTGTCACTTCGACAAAATTTCTAGACAAGATGTTATTCAGTTTAAGGGAATACCGCTAATAAAATAAATGAGTCGCGTCATTTAACAAGTTTTGGCTATTTTGCTTTTGTTTATTTAAAATGTATTAACTTACTTTTTGTTAGATAAAGAATTATCAACATTAAATAAACAGAAGAAAAATAGCCAAAATTTGTTAAAAATTTATATAAGTAATAAGAGAAAAAAATCAAATCCTTTGTATTCTTTCAAAATAAGTACATCGCGACATTTTTCATCTGTAAATTTTACAATTACAATTTTATTTTCATAAATTGTTTAATTACAATTTTAGCGTAAAATTGTTTTTGTATTTCTATATATTTACAGATCAAATGTAGGTATGCTTGTATAAATGTTTGTAAAAAATGTCTGTAAAATCAATTTCGTACAATTTCTTGCATCAGCATTCAATAGTAAAGCGTAATAAGTGTTAGTAACAGAATAATGTGCTTCAAGGGTAAGTGCAAATCAATGAATTATGAATAGAAAAAAGACAAATGTTAAGAAGCATAAAATACATAATACTTTTTGTACTAAGTAATCCATTAACAAAAAAAAAAAAATATTTTAGAATTTAATTGAAAAAATACAATAAAGTTAAGGCAGGCAGGAGTGACAATTAAATGAAGAGGTTATAATCACAAAAAGAAAATATTTTCAAAATATAAACTAAAAAATTTATGTACTATGACATATATAGTATGCACATTAGGGTGCCTCACCAAAAATAAGTTGCTGTTTTCAATCGGAACCTAAAAACGTATTACATTTTAAGACTTCCACCAAAAGATTTCGGAAAAATATTATAATATATGCTGGCCCGACTTAAAATACCTACAAAACAGTCATTATTTTGTTTCCGTTGATAAGATTTTTAAACATTTTTGGAAAAAATACTCGTTAAGACTGGTTTTATTAGAAAGAAATCTATTTTTGGGGGTATAATAATATATTTTATAATTCTGATGGAAAATTAGTATAGCCTTTTTTTTGTAGGGGTGCACCTTAATGCGCATACATGTGAATTCTAAAAAAAGAAAAATTATTCTTGCAAGCCTTAACTCTATTTTTTATTTATTTTTCTTTAAACAATAAGTTATTCTTCCTACATTTTTGCTATTTTACCAATACTTAATTAAGTCTATCTCCACATTATCCTATATTTAATTATTCATACAAATCTATCTACTCACTATATTATTAAATAAAAAAAATCCTTGTGTGCTTGCAACTCTCGCCACCCACAATGTAGTATGATGCATTCCAAAGCGTACCGGGTGTGAGATCGAGAGTAGGTCACGGCACACGAGGATGCACGTTGATGAATGATTTTTTTGGTCTGCTTTTACTTTCCGTACCTGTGTAGCCTCGTTGCATGGCTCGAAGATACGAAGAATATGCGCGCGCGGCAGCAAGAACAATGAACAATGAACATTAAACAGTGAATTTGTGCAAGCAATGATGTGCGACTGTGATCGAAAACAAAAACCGAGCGCGCTAATGCATTTTGGGCGCACATCTATCTGGAACTACTGGGGGCAAATTGGGAAAACCAAAACCGACGCGCAATAGAGCGTAATATCCTCAAAACTTGTTTTCTTTTTTTATCAAAGAGCAAACCAAAGTTGTTGTGTGTTTTTTCTTTATTTATATATTATAATTCAGTGAATTCACGTCGTCGTCGGCGGCCATGTTGCGTTGGGTTGGTGTTTTCTGTGCAAGGCAACCCACAACAGAAAAAATAAATGAGGATCGATATCGCTACCCCTACACTCGAAACACAGAAAAAATCGAAATCAAAAAAAAAAAGTATATGTCTATATTAGAAGCTCATCGCTCCTCTAATGTACTCACAAGAATGTGTGCCTAGCTAAACTCCAGTCTGAGTCTAATCGTTCTGTTGCTTTTGCAATAAATCGACGACTATGACGATGACAACGGCGACGAGTAATCGTGATTTCATTATGGAAGGGTTTGTATAAAGATTTTATCCCGATCCTTAAATCGTTTATTAATACAGCGAAGATAGTGATAATAACTATAATTATAAACATAAATATATTTCTGTGTTAATATATGCAATAGGATATGATTTTAATATTTCATCAGACTATGCGATTTTTGGAGGCAAATATGGACATATATATATATATCTTTTAAATGACCTAAGAATATGTGTTGATAGTGAAAATTTGTAATACTGATTTTTAGTTTGATGTTAATATTATAATTACAGTTTTTTGAACAAATTAGCTTTCAAAATCGTGTAGTTGTCAAGAGCACTTTATTAGCAATATTTCTTTTACTGTTACAAGGATTTGCTTTAAGCAGGTATTTCGGAATCATTATCTAGTTATTTCGTCTTTTTATATTTAGGCAAAACTATTAAAGTACAAGTTGAAAGTTCAGGGTAGCACTCTAGAACATAATTGACTTCTTTTACATAACTCCCAAAAGCTCGAGTATTTATACGGACACAAATTTTGTGGGTCAATGATTTTGAAGGCATTTTTCAAATATGTATTTGCAAAGAAAAACTTTCACATTATATATTCGTGCGAAAGAGATTAGAACACGGCAGGGAAACATTTTTATGCATTTCTTAAATCAACTCAAAGTTTTTATCAATAAATATAAAAAATTTTAGTATCGGTGACCCAAAATATTTTACTGACAAATTTAAACTTTTTCAGACCACAACTTGTTACTGATACAGAATAGAGCCATAAAAATAAATTGAATATTCCTTCGGGAGTTATGTTATTTAAGCGATGGAGAAAAATTGTCTCCAGATATCGAAAGGCTCGTTAACTTCAAAATATCTCAAACATTCTTATGTTTAAGTTTTGATTAGAAATCCTTATTTTTTTTAGAAAGTATGTCTAACGTTTGTTCAAGAAAATTGTATCGCATTTAGAACATGGCGATAAGGCAAATGAAAATTTTCCAAAAAGCTTTAATTTTTGGATTTTTTTTTGCTTGAAATGACAAATAAAAAATATATATGTAAATAGTGAAATTTCCATATCTCTTCTCCACTTCATGAAACACCAGTTAGCCCGTGAACGGAAGTAAAGTAAAAAAAATAAAAATAATCAAAAACTCAACAAATTCCAAAAAAAATTCAAAAAATATGTAAAAAAGAAACGATTCAGTATTCTTACCGCCGGTTTTGCCAGAAATTTAAATGGAAAATGATTTCGTATTTGCTGTCAATTTCCGTATTAAATTCAAAAAATTAATATATTTTTTTACTTAAATTGCTTTCGTGAAATTGGCTGATAACAATAGAGTTCACGATATAGTTTTACTTTCCTACGAAAATTTATGCAGGTTTCTTCTTTGCTAATATCGTCTTCTAATATTAGATTCAATTTCAGAACATTAATTTTAAACGATCTAATTTTCCTTGAAAATAGTACATAAATTCTTTCGATACTCGAATAAATCAATCAACGTCGAAGTATTCAACTTCTCAAATATTTTTTTTTCAGAGATGACCATTAAAATTGTATTTTTTTCGACGAAATATAACGTTGACGATTTTTTTTTTTGTTATTCAACAATTTTAAATATCGAACAAAATACAGATAATTTTTTTTTTATTTATGTATTTATTCATTTCTTTTAGACAAAATATGTTATACAGTAGTTAGTGATATTTTATTTTATATTAATTTTTTTTAATTTTTTTTTAACTCCCACAAAGCACATCCCTCTCGCAGTGCAATGTGTGCATTCTCAGCTAAATAGAAATTTAACTCGTCTTCATGCCATCACACATTTGTGATTCTCGCTACCTCAGCATACATACATATTTCTCTACTAAGTACTTACTAATAGAAAAGAGCATAAAAAGCTAAAGCATTGAACATTTGTAAGAACATCAAATTTATACACTTTTTTAAACCAAGAAAGAGTTTAATTAAATACAGTTTATTTTTTACATATCTTAACTAATTAAGTCTACATTCGAAAATTTTCCGCCAAACTAACCGCCAAATTCTCTATATGCATGTATTTATTTTAGGCGTGATGCAAGCGACTACAATGGGCGGCGCCAAGTTGGAGAAACGCTACTCGCCCAGTTTTCGCGAGGAGCCCGCGCGCAAGATGAGCAGCACAAAGCGCAAACGGGATGATGTGCTAAGGTGGGTACAGCAGCAGTGCGCTGAAAAAAAAAAAAATAAAATAAAAATAACTACAACACAAATACTTAGCATTCGTTTCAATTTGATACGATTAAAAATTGCTTAGNAGCAGCACAAAGCGCAAACGGGATGATGTGCTAAGGTGGGTACAGCAGCAATGCGCTGAAGAAAAAAAAAATAAATAAAAATAACTACAACACAAATACTTAGCATTCGTTTCAATTTGATACGATTAAAAATTGCTTAAAGCGATGCAAATAAGAATTTGCTTATTTTTAGATTACATACATACTACCAGTTAACCTATATACATACATACATGACGACCCAACAACCAAATATGGCAATGAATTTTTGCTTTTATTTTAGATCTAAAAAAATTGCTTTGAATAAATGTTTGCGTGTGTTCGCGTTGCTAAAATGCATACCAGTATAAAAAAAGCGATTTGTGTACGTGATACAAGCTCCTCAAAGCAAAAAAAGCTTACTAGCGGGTATGAAATGAAATCAAAAAATATATCTACATAAATATTTTTTTAAACTACAAAATATGTTTAAAAAACACTTTGTTATGATAAATTCATGGCGAACATTAAATTAATGAAATTCGCATGAACGTATCCAAAACACAAATATTTTTCCATGCCCCCGTGTATTTCTTTTAGGCCGCCATTAACGACGACCATCACGAACGCGCAACATTCACAAGCTATGCTCTACAATAATTTAGCCGTGTAGCGCTCAAGAACACACGGCTCGTAAACATGAAACCAAGCACACAAGCACCCAAGCAAGCAAACCAAGTGAGCCGCCAGTGAGCGAGCGAGCGACTGATCGTGCGCCACACATTTGGGACGCCCCCTCTGCACTCGCCGCCCCTGCCGCAAACACTGGAGCCGCCTTGCAACCTCTGCGAGCCACACCCACGCACTCGACTCCTCGCCAGCCAGTAGCCAAACGCCGACCGAATAGCCGTTAAAGCATGGCCGAGCGCTGCTGCCGACGAAGAGCTGAGGAAGCCAAGAGCAAATGGGCGAATCACTTGTAGCCTGAAGGTGGTCTGTAGTTCTAACTACGATACATACGCTAATCATACATAGATTTCATTGTTTATTTATATTCATTGCTGTAGTAAAGCTAAACAAAAAAAAAACTAAAAAATTAACTTTTTAAACTAAATTGTTTTGTAGTAATGCTAAATTTAAATTGTAGAGTTAAATACAAATAGTTTTCTAATATATGTTCATACCTACATACAACCATATATGTATATGCGAATTTATATTAGTTAAGCATTGTGCAATCAAAAATAAATATATATTTTGAAACAAAAGCCACGTATTTGTTTATGAAATCTTTTAATGCCTACAAGGTTTCTTTTCTTCTCTCTCTTTTGCAGGATGAAAGTTCATAAGAATGGAAATGCTGCCGATGTTATAAAAAGTATTTCGCAATTAGACAACACAAATAAGCAATGTTAGTATCCAATAGATGAAGTTGTTGTGGTGGTGACCAACACAACCAACCAAACAAAATCTAACAATCATACAATCAATCAACTTGAATTTTTGTTAACAAAACCTGCCATAGTCACTTTCATAAACGAAACATCTGAGTATCGAAGTTAACATTCGTATTACGCCATTGCATTGGTTCAATAGTCACTTTCATACAACAAGCAAAGTTAATTTTCTGTAGAAACTTTGGCCAGCCAGGATTTCTGTGTGGAAAATTACATTTTCATACACATTTTTCAGGGTCCTTTTTTCGTTAAAATATTGCACGATGACAACCACACTTAAGATAATATTATTTAATTTCTCTATTGAAGCGGTTAATTGCCAAAGGGAATAAGTCAGCATTTGTTCGATATGACAATTTTGATCCAGTTCGGTTTGTTTAAATTTTGAGTAAATTACGAAAAACCGAAAAAATTTGCTAAAAAAAAAAATCGCAATTTTCTCGAAATTTTGAGGGTGTACGAGTCAAAAGGACCTCAAATTTAGATTTAGCAGGTCGAAATACATGTCGGTAGGTGGGCCTGGTTAAATATAGGTACAGAAAACCTTTTTATTTATTTTTTTTTTTTAATTTGCTTGTTTTTTAAAAAACTAGCCTCAATTCCTAAGGGATCGCTTGAACCTGATTTTTGAATTTTTTTTGCTCAAAGTATTTTTTTTTTTTTGCTCAAAATAAACTTTTTATTGTAAAATGCAGAAAAAATAGCAAATTTGAAGAAAATCGATTCTCTCGTTCCTGTTAATGAATGTTACATAATAAAAGCAGTCGCAAACAATTATAGGGTTGCCCAAAAACGAAAATTTAAATTTTAAATATCTATTAAAAAAATTTCGCCAAAATTTAAAAAAAGGTGTTAAATCTTTAAGGCAGTGTCACACGATTGGTACATTTGCACAGATTTGTACATTTTTTATATTTTTCTATCGGTACAAAACAAAAAAAAAAATGGGACTACAATTTTTTTTTTAGTCACACCATTGGTACAATACAGCAAACTTTTATTCAAAAAATTTTAACAAATTGTTTTTCGTGATTGGGTTAGGAAAACTATTTATGCTTTCACACGATTGGGATACGATTTGCACCAAATTTTGGGCAATGTCCAATCGTGTGACACTGCCTTTAGAAAAATGTGAGGTATGCCGTTTTATAGCCCATTAAGTTTTTAAGCATTATAAAGGCAAGTTTTAACTTGTTAAGAAATCACTTTAATTTTTAATAATAATCTTTTTTTGTGCTTAAAAAAAATTATTGGAAATATTATTTTATATGTAACATTTCAAGTTTTTCTTGTGTATTTTTACGTTTGGGGTGAACCCTATAATTGCCTCCAACTCAGGAATCGCTCTCCTTCAAAACTGCTACTCTTTCTCATAGATATTGGAATTTTGCGTGCAGTGTTTTTTCTAATATACCAGTTTTGTTGCCTCTCTTTACTATGTTGAAATTTGATTTTATGCACTCGCGAATTGTGCAAAGGTGGGCGTACTTTCGCTGCCTTCGAAAAAAAAAGGTACGAATGCGCGCCTGATATTGTTCAGCCCATTTTAGTCGGATTTGTACCACATTTTAATTTTCATAGTTATGTTCATAATGTGTACATACGTAGTCCGAAAACATGTCCCATGCCATTAAAATAATCTAGACATTTGCCATTTTCATAATCCTCGTACATATATTATATACCCCTTAGTGAATTGGCCTGTAATGCGCGAAAATGTGAATTCACAAGTAATCGAACGATGACCGGCTAAACGTGAAATGGCTAAAAATAGCGGTAAAATTGAAATATACCAATGTGTGTCTGTATGTGTGTGTACCAAACTCTATTTACGATGGGATATTTTCCGCAAAGCTCAGCGTAATTTAACGCCTTGCCAATTTGCAAATTATAGCAGCGTATCTCTCGAGCCTCTTGGTTGAAAGAAGTAGAAGTGCATTGTGAAAAGTGTGTATATTTATTCGACTCTTAACATAAACATATGAATTTATATGTAAGCATGTATGTATGTTTTTACATACCGACATACATACATACTCAAATGCATATAATTTCGTCCGCAATAAAATGTGTAAGCTGACCGCAAGTTATCAAGAAAACGGCAATTTTCAATAGCTCTTTCGTAAGCATAATTATCATCATCAGTTTACTCATTCCGTGCATGTGTTGTGTGTCTTTAACGTTGATCTGCGTAATTTTTACCATCTATACAAATTAAAAAATTTCAACTCGTATTTATTTCATTGAAACTAAATTTTTGTTTTTCTACTTTTCTTTTATCTGTGTTTAGATTTCCTTATGCTCGAGAACATAACATCACAATTTCGCAATCCATGCATATTGGATTTGAAAATGGGCACACGCCAGCACGGTGATGACGCCTCAGCAGAGAAGCGTTCCAAACAGATGGCCAAGTGTGCGGCCAGCACATCGGCATCGCTGGGTGTACGCCTTTGTGGCATGCAAACCTATCAAGCCCATCTCGATCAATATGCCAAGCGCGACAAGTACTGGGGACGCGAATTAGATGAGAATGGCTTTAAGCAGGCATTGCATGACTTTTTCTACAATGGCTATAGGTTGCGCATACGCGTCATCAAGAAGATTGTGCAGCGGCTATTGCAGTTGCGACGCGTAATCGAAAAGCAATCCAGCTATCGGTTCTACTCATGGTGAGTTGAGGGGCAAACAATTACATGAATTTTTTATATTCATTTTGCTTGTAATTACACAATTAACATTTTTTTTCAATTCTTTTTACGCAGCTCGCTGTTGATCGTCTACGAGGGCTACGAAGAGAATCCTCAGGTTCATCCCATGGACATTGAGGAATGGCTTACACCTACCACGCCGAAGTCGGCTACAAAATCCGCTACTTTCGACTACCATCCCGATAACAGCCTCGATGAGGATGACATCGATGAAGATGATGACGATGTGGTGGATGCAGATGATGACACTGCCGGCCATGATGGTGGTGATGAGCTAGAACTCCATGAGACCGATGACGATCTGCATATGGTTGCAGCCGATAGCGGCAATGCCTCGGCGACTAATAGCAGCACCGGCGGCGATCCCTGCTGCTACGATGCCGACGCCTCAAATGACTCTACCAACACAGCTGCGCTGAATCTTACCACCTCGCGTCGCAAACGCGGCTTAACGGAAGCATCACTTGAAAGATCACGCGGCTTCGCGGAAGTTATCACACCCGTGTGCGGCTACGACGACTCCACTGCATCCGCATCTGGGACAAACACCGAAGTTGATGCCATCTCAATGCCGCCGCCACCGACAACAGCGGGCCCAGTAAGTGCAGAGAGCAGCAGTGCGGCTGCCGTCGCTGGCAGTAGCAGTAATCCGCCGTTCATTCCAATCTCCGAAGAAACAGTATTCCTCGATCCTGAGCCGCCAATGCCCAGCGTTTCGACCTCGTCCCCGCACTCAGGTGACTCTTGGATGAACTATAGCAGCAACAGTAGCGATGATTTCTCTGGACTTTCCGAACAAATCAAAGCGGTCACCAGTGGACGGCAAACAGGCGATAATAGTTCTGACGAGGCCAGCTCTGACTATGACAGCAGCATAATTGGTCAAACGGAGGTGATGCTGAAGCGTTACAAATCGCAACAGGACTCCTTCGATATATCGCCCCTGGCGCAAGCAACCGATACGCCGCTATCAACTGTGGCCTCAGCGGCGTCGCGTCTGCCGCACACGCTAGCATCATCAGCATGCTCCACACCGCCCTTGCCGCCTAGCAGTGTCATCAAACTGCCCGCGTCTGTTGCTAACTCCTCGCCCACCTCGTCGACGGCGTCATCACTAAAATCGGTACGCGGCGCCGTTAAGCGCTTACGTTGCAAAGACGCCGACGATGAGGATGAAATGGATGCCAACGATAATAAGAAGGACGCGATATCGACTTCTTCGCAGGCGAAAAAATCGACACACGCGCCAAATTTAACTAGCGCGATAGCTAGCGGCTCATGCAACAGCAGCAGCGCGGCACCTGTTTCTTCAACACCAACTTCCGTCAACGCGTCACCAGCTAAGACGCCACTCATGACGCCCACCTCAACAACATCGGGCACCGAGAGCACAGCTGACAAAATCAAGAATACACTGCTCGCAGGCATACAAGATATGCATGACATGCACACCACGTGCAACAATGACAACAGCGCCAACAAAAATAATAATCATAGCAATAACATCAGCAGAAAGAAGGCCACCGCCGCGCGCTTGACGCTGCAACATGCCTCCAAATCGTTAGATATCGGCAGTTGCCAAGCGAACGCCAGCAGCGATGATGCGCGCTGCCCCGTAGACGTGCGCCTCATTGACTTTGCGCACACAGCATTCGTGCCGCGCAACGGCAGCGGGCTACTGCAGCAAACAACATCTAGCACGCCGGTGCATCATGGCCCAGACGGCGGCTTCCTAACGGGACTGGACAGCCTTAATCGCTTACTCAACGACATACTCACCGAAGAGGTCATCGTTTAAGCGGCGGTCGTGCACGCGCGCGCGGCTTATGTACGTGTGTGTGTTTTACCTGCAGTACGATGCGGTGGGGTGCGAAATCCGCATTGCAGCAGTCATGCTCTCAATGAGCTCAAAGTGCAGCAAGGAAAGCGCTGCAAGCTATAAAACCTTGCATGAACTTTAAAAATGCTGCTAATCAAAACTACCACCAATAAAAAAACTATGAATGCTATGTAAAGTAGTTATTAAACGCCACCAACAGCTTGGAGAGCAATCAATGCCCCAAAACACTTTTGCAATTGACTGAGTATGCAGAGTGAATGGTAAGAAGTAAGCAAGAATAAAAATGGGAAACGTGTGTGAGCGTTTGAGCAACTAAATTTAAGCCTAAAAATATAAAAATAGACTACATTTATTACTGCAAATTATGTGCATACCTAAAAATATGAAAGTGGTATAAAGGTATAAGGGAAAATCAAAACCGTGCAACCGAGAGAGAGGGAGATGAAACTGAAGCGACACGCACAGCGTTGGCAGCAAAACAAAATGCAAAATAGTGAACAAAACGGGAGTGTGTCTTTTTTATTAACAAATTTTAAGCTAAAACATACTTGAATTTTTAAAAGGCAAATGTCGCGGGGTAGGAGTGTGAAGGCAGGAAATTGTTCATAAGCAGATAAGAAAGTCAATCTAAAATGAAAGTAAAAATTAAAAACTTTAAGCGAGTGATATGTGGCTAGACTAGCTGCTCTTGAACAGAGTGAACAATTTTAATTTGGAACAGTTAAAAAGAAAAAAAAATTCTACAACTGTTTTAAACAAAATTTTCAAACACAATTATATATAGAATATGATAAAAGCAAATGCGAAACATTAACAACAAACTTTTTACCATATGCACAAAATAACATGCTATATAATAATATGAGTACTATGATACAATTTGTAAAAAACATAAAAATGTATAACGAATGTTAAAAAAAAAATAATAATAACTAGAGCATTTCATAAGCAAAAAAATAATAATATTCTTTAAATTAACAACAAACTAATATACATTCACAACAACATTGAATGCAGCTCGTGCGTTTAAGAATAATGCTGAGTGCAAATAATTAAAAAAATACAAAAATTAACAAACATTCCCCTATTACGTTTGTTGCTAAATTGCAGGCGTAAAGCAAACCGCAATGGACATGTCGCATGCAAATGTGAGTCAGAAAAAGCTAACTAAACGTTTCGTTGCGCAAAACAGCAAAAGTACATCAAAATAAAATATGTATTTACTTAGCGATAATTTCGCTAGACAAAAACTCGAGTGCCACGCCAGCTTAAATGTACTATTTTTTGCTATACAAAACATGCTTGGCCTAATAGTAAGTTAGCAAAAACAACAGCAATTGCTAAATTTTATTTAAAGCTACTCATCTAAAAACTTGCATACAACCAATGTCTTCCTTCTGAAAGGGGAAAATGACTCAAAAAGTTGGCTAAAAAAATACAACCAACGGCAACTTAATAAGGATATGAAAGCCTACTAAACTTTGTTACCTTTTGTTTGATTACGTTGGGCACTTTTGCTTCAAGAACAACAACTTAAAAATTGAATTCAAAAAATACGAAAACTGATACGTTCGAGTTTTAGCTGCGTTTGTTAAAGTATACAGTAAGCAAAATAAAACAATCACGGCAGGCGGGTCTACGAATTAACTGGAACGAGCTTGGAAGTGGCCAAGAGCATCACTCCAGTAGCATTCCGCAAATCTATGATATTGTAGCAACAACAACACCAGCCACGACTGACGCCTAGATTTTTTCCCGGGCAAGTATGATGACTTCAGTAGCATTCGCCAAAACCGGTTAATGGTTACTACATCATCAACAACAACAACAACAATAACAAAAGAAAAAACCATGAACCAAAAATACAAGATCACGTAAGAACGCGACGTTGTATTTGTAACTGGTTTTTAGAAAAAAGTTTGCGAAAGCGGGTTCATCAGCTGAGCGTTTGTTTACATCACAAGCACCACTATTTTACACTTTTGTTCAAGTAAGAAGAGTTAATTCAACATAACAACACATTTTTAAGCATTTTGTTGCATCATTTTACCTAAATTGTGCGTTTAAAGTGGCTGACAATAATTTTGGCTAATTTTGGTTTTCGTTGTTTTCTTTGCTTTGTTTACTTTTCGCTCGTTTTCCAGTGAAACAAGATGGCGTAGGACCCGCTAAAAAAATCGACTTTTTCACTCTCTTGTTCTTACGTGATCTTGTGTTTTTCGTTCATGGAAAAAAACATAAAAAACAGCTGGCATAGAAATAGAGTATTGAGCAGGCTAAAAGCGCATTTGCTGTGTAAAAAAAGGAACGTTATGGAAAGGAAAATTATGTGATTTTAAAGCGTAATATTCTGAAGCAACAAAATGAAAGTTTCCTTAAATAAAATAAAAATCGGAAACATTTTTTAAAGTTAAAGTAAAAAACTTAAAAAATAACAACAATACAAATGAAAGTAATAATAGCTTACTATGTAGCTCGAAGAATAAGAAGCAACTCGCTAGCTTAGAGTGAAAAGTTGCCTAGTCCACTTTTTTATGAAAACTTGCATTTGGATACGGGAAGCAAGGAAAATTTAAACTGCCAAAAAGAGCAACTTAGCTAATTGATTTCTGCCCAGAAATGCAGTGAAACAAAACTTCGCTTGGTCCAAAGAAAGCACAGAAAATTTTCATGTGGGAAGTTTTATTTAAGTGCGCCAGTAAAATTTGGGAAAAAACTGGACTTAAATTTTTTCTCTAAGCTGGCGAACTAATCATAATATTTGCTTTTTTTTTTTTAATGGCATTTACGGACATGAAATACCAATATACATATACAAAGACAGAAAAATAAACACCCAAATTCATAAAAAATAAAGAAGACTTTAACTGCTTTGTAAATCGAAAATTTTTATGAAAATTTCACTTTTTAAAGCTTTTTTGAAACTTCTTTGTTTTTTATGAATAAGGCCATAAAATTATAAAAAAAAATTACAATGATACATTTGAATTGAGCAAACTACGATAACAAATAAAATACCAAGAATAAAAATTAAAATAATGAAAATAAATTAAAATAGAAAAATAAATTTAATGATATTAAAAGAAAAATAAAGAAAAAAATAATAAAATGAGTAAATAAAAAATATAAATAAGTAACATAAAATAAAATCTTGAATTAAATCAAGCGAAATAAAAAATATGAAATTTAATTAATAATAAAAAGTAATCAAATAAAAAAATAAACAGACCCAAAAAGTTATAATAAAGACAAGAATAGAAAAACTAAAGCAATCAATATCACTCCATTGATTCCGCACGCCCAGATAATGGGTGAAATTAAGGAAGTTCAAGAACACAATGGAAGGACTAAGTTCAGAAGGACCAATTGCAAAGACTAATGAAGAAGAGAGAGAAAATAAAATGAATTAAAAGGACAAAATGAAAAAAGAATATAAAAAAATATAAACACAACAATTTAAAAAATAAAACTAAAAGCAAAAATGTATTAGACAGTACAACAAAAAAAAAACTAAATTCTGGATTATTTTGCCTCCAACAATAGCTTTTGTTTGAGTTTCATAAATTATTCATTTCATGCACAGAAAATTCTTACCAACTTTCGTTTAATTGAAGCATTTGCAACCTTTTGTTTTATTAAATCGCCGATCAGCTTTGCATACGCATTGGCGCTCGAAAACAGTATTTTTTGCTTCAAACTATAAAAAAAATTAAATAACATAAGTAATACCCAAGTTCATAATAAACAAAATAGTAGTGTATGTGAATTTTGTAAGAATGTCACATAAAGTTTTAATTTCAAATCCATTTTATTTTATATTTTATTTTTTGAATAAGGTTATAAAATTTGATTCAATAACTAGTTCTATAATAATACAGCAATTAATTAGGTGATTTACTTTAAAAAAAAAGGAAGTGTGCGCAAAACATAAAAATTAGTCATTGCTGTTGCACTTGAAAGTTTCTTTTATAGTAAAATAGTTGCATACAATTTATAAAATGAGTGACAGAAAAAAGTTTATTTTATAAAAGTAGATAATACATAGAAATACGGTTTATAATTTACAAAATACAATTTTAACAGCCGGTTTCACCAGCAATTTAAATGAAAAATGTTTTTTTTATTTTCTGTCAATTTCTATTTAAAATTCCGTGAAATCGGCTGTAAGTATTTTCAACGGAAATTTGTTAGTGCAACAGCATCGACTTAACAAAAACAAAAAAAAATGTTATAAACTCAAAACACAACATTAAAACAAAAACCAAGAAATAAGTTTAGTTTCCTTATAAAATAGATATTTGTAAAGTTATATATAAAATTTGTATACTACATTCAGCAGATATGGTAGCCATGTAAGTTCAGCAAAACCACGATCACAAAATATGAAAAATATGAAAAAAAATCTGCAAAACTTTTTATGAAAAAAAAAAAACAAAAAGTATGCCACACTCTTATAATATGTAATGATTTTTAATAATTAGATTTTTAATAACACACAAACCACTACTGTTGTTGAACTAATTAAAATATTTAAGTTAAGAATAATTACAATAATATTTAGCCGTTAGTTTTAGAGGTGTATCGATGTTGTGCGGGTGTGAAAAAAATGCAAAATTACTGTTGTCTATTAAAAGTTTTATGAAATCATTGAACGATTAAAAAAAGTTATCTAGCAACTAAAAATTTGGTTTTTTCAACACTTTGCCATAAGTCGCACATTCTTCGACAATTACGTGCAAAAATAAAAAAAACAAATGCTAATTTCTGTTTAGCATTTTGCAACGTAAACTGTGTTCTTGTACTCTTGTGTTAACATGCCCATTCAAAATTACATTTTACATATTTTGTGTTTATTTTTTTATGATTCTTCAAGAGTTTTGAATAATTCACCAAGTTATGGAACCTCAAAAATAAAAATTTTATAACTACAAAGCTATGTAAAAAATATGCTTAAAAAACACCGTTAACAATATTGAATTTCTATTGTATAGATATGAATTTGTTAAATTTAAGCTAAATTATATTTTTAAGCCCGTACATATATTTATTTTTAGGGCAGCGTAAATATATATATGAAAAACTGAGTTTAATTAATCCTTAAATAATAATATTGGAAAAGCGCATCTATTAAAAAAAAATCAAAAAAAACATCCCATTACCGTAAAAAAGGTGTCTTTATTAATTTCATTTTAACTTTATTTAGAACTCAAGTTTCAGTTCTAAAATGTTTTCAAAATTCTTACCTGCATCTAAACGACACCCATATTAATGCATACTATATAATTCTAATAAAAAATGCAATAAATATACATATATTACTGAAAGAAATAATTTTAGAACTACTTGAATAAATAAAAGAATATATATTACAAAAAGAATGTTGTTTTATTATTTAATAACACCAAAAAGTAGTAATGAACACATGTTTTAATATTTGCATATTTCTCTTTGCGGCAGTTATAAGAACTAGTTTGCGCAAACAGTTTGTGCAAACCAGGTTGGCGCAACTTGCTGGGCAAACTAGTGTCGCCAACATTTGCAAGTTCCACCAGGCGAACAGAAGCGGCGTGCAAGCGCCTCTTCGCTGCGCACGCAGTGCTGCCAGATGTTTGCAAAAATGTGGTTAACGCATGATGATGCCAGACAAGCTTTTTCGCTCTCGCTTTGCCTTTCTTCGTAGTTAACGTATCCGTATATTGCAAAAATATGGCAACGCCAAGTAACAGCTGATCGCAAGCTGTCAAGTTTGACAGCGACTTTTTGGTGCCGTTTTGCTGTCCTATTCCAAATCCATTGCACAAGTAAATTTGTTTTTAACCAGAAATTTTGGAAAGCGTATTGAAAGTTTTTGCCCTTCAAAACAACAGCAAGGTAATTTGATACCGTGAAACCAATAAATGTTCAAATGCACAGTATTACCACTTACGGCACAAGTGCATTTAAAATGATAAAATTATATAACCTAAGCTGCGGGCATACAGCAACCATCGAAAATTTGCAGAACTAAGCGCACTATCCCTTTTTTTATTTCAGCTTCAATAAATCATGGGCGGACACGGACACGGTGAACCCTACAAAGTGCCAGATCCATCAATCTACAAAGTGGAAACCATTCCGAAGCTACGTGAGGTGCAAGAAGCGCTGGCACGTCAAGGATTGAAAGATCCATGGTTAAGGTGAGCCCCTCTCGAATATTAAAACATTAATATTAACCCCAATTCGTCTTGCCATCAACTAGAAACGAAGTATGGCGTTATGAACCAAGCATTATGGGCACACACGCAAGCCGTGCACGCGCCTTTTTCCTGCGCGGCCTCTTATGGGGTGCAATAGCTGCTGCCGTACACATTGGTTGCGAATATGCTTTCAGTTCAAAAGATGATCACGGTCATGGACATGGCCACGATGAGCACGCTGAAGGTCATCATTGAGCACCTCGTCGCTGTTTCTATGTCTCATAGTAAAATGGTTGAATTTCATGTGTGTTTCCACTGATACGCGATAAATGCATCGTACCAAATAAAGCGCTTAGCATAAATTCTTATTTTGAGTTTTATTACGGGTCTGGTTCTCTACTCACTGAAATGCAGGTTTCAAAATTTAAGTTCTATCGAAAAAATTTGTTTATCATTCAATGATGTATTGCTAAATAACTACCTGCTTGAGGTTGAATTTATGCAATACGTGGCTTTAGCTCATCATAGCAAGAACGCAGAAAGATTTGTGGCTTTTTGCTCGGATTAAAATACTCATGACCCTGTAAGGCGAAGGATAACATAAAAATTCAAATTTTTCACACGAACTAAATTACCTTCGACCAATCGTAGCCCACCGCATAAGCGAATATTTGTCCATTGTTGTTGAAAGCGCACTTGGTAATCGATTGATCCATAGTCTCCGATGATTTGAGTTTTGTGCGTGCATCCTTGTCCCAGAAGCTAAAAGTACCATCTGAACCGACGGTCACCAAAGTGCCGTGTACTGGGTGGAAGGCTATATCGTTTACGGCATATATGTCTTGATAGCCGGCTGTACCAGTTGTGCGATGGCACTTGAAGGTAAAGTTATCCTTTGGATTCACTGGGTTTACATATTGTATCGCAACGCGGCCCTCAATGCTGCCAAGCGCGTAACCTAAATTGTATTAAATTCGAATCAAGAACTGCATGATATATGATCAATAGAATATTACATACCCGTTGGCGCTTTTTTCTTATCCTTAAATATTGATATGGTTCTATGTTGGTATTTCAGTGGACTATCCTGCCGCTTAAATTCAGTCGGCGTGTTTTCTAGTGAGTATACAATGAGGCCACGATTCGCCGTACCTACCACAGCCATAGGGTAATCAACATCAGCACAATAGCAGCGTTCTGGTAAGTTGATTGCCATAAGTGGGTTGGGCGTACGCGTGTCCCAAAACTGAAAAGTAAAAAGATACATGATTAGAGATTTGCTACTCAAGTAATAAGATCATAAATATACCCTTAGAGTTTTATCCCACGAACCGGTCATCAGACAGCTATAAGTTGACCCCTTTATCCAGTGGCAAGTTTTTACAGGCGCATCGTGTGCTGCTACCTGAACTACCTGATCAGAGGCTAAATCCCACATCTTTACCTGCTTGTCACATGATGCCATATACACTTTAGTGCCATCATCAGACCAGCACACATCTAATACCGGACCTCCCATTGTTTTCATCGACTTTGGCACTGTTTTGCCCGTTTGTTCTACTTCCCAACAACGAACGCTGCTATCCCAGCTGCCGGCAATAAGAAAATTCTGCGGTATGGTGCTGGGACTAAATTCTAAGGCGGATACAGAGTCATCCGGCGGCATTGTTACTTCAAAATCGTTCATGCGGTTTGTAGACGGTGTGGCGGTAGTTCCACCCAGCGTTGGCTGGCCAAACATATCGTGCTTCTTACTTCAGCAAATTGGCGGTAAACTTTAAAGTTGCAACAGTCTGTTTATCACTCAGTTAAACTTGCCTATTTAAAGAGAATTCAGTTAATTAACTTGTGACTTGTTTGCTACCATTTGTCTTCAGTTCAATTCGCGTATATTGGAAAATTGGCTTAAAAACGCAATCTTTTGAAATTTAATGAAAAAAAACACGCATTCGCTGCGGTTGTCAAAAAATAGTGTTGCCGGAAAGCGCGGTTTTGTCCAATTCTTTTCTTTGTCAACTTGTAAATTTCATTTTTCATGACATTCCGAAAGTCGGCATGAAAACAAAGCTGTCAAATGGTATTAACGAGGAATATTCCGACGAAGCGGCTTCAAAATTAAATAATAGAAGTAGTCCGTCATTCCTGCGAAGATTCTNAGAAGTAGTCCGTATTTAAGAGGTATAAATAATTAAAAACAGTTATATTTTTAATACATAAAGTGTTCCCTTTCAGTGTATTGTACTTTTGACTGTTGATTTCTTCCGCCGCACTCCAATTTTCAGTAATCAGATCAAAGTGTGTTCTGGAAGAAAATGTTGCGTACCTTTGTTACTACCGCTGGACGACGATTAGCGCAGCAACACCAACAATCCGTATTACTCAGGAATGGGCGTCAGCTAATACAACAGAGTCGCACGAAGTCCTCCACACCTATGAATACAATCATTATGTTTGTGCCTCAACAGGAGGCATGGATAGTGGAGCGAATGGGCCGTTTCCATAGGATTATGGAGCCTGGTCTTAACATATTGGTGCCCTTCATTGATAAAATCAAATATGTGCAAAGTCTGAAGGAAATCGCTATTGATGTGCCCAAACAGAGTGCAATTACCTCGGACAATGTTACCCTTAGCATAGATGGCGTTTTGTACTTGCGTATCATTGATCCTTATCGCGCTTCATATGGCGTTGAAGATCCCGAATTTGCGATAACGCAACTTGCACAGACAACCATGCGGTCCGAGTTGGGCAAGATGTCGTTAGATAAAATCTTCCGCGAGCGTGAATCTCTCAATGTCAGCATAGTGGACTCTATCAATAAAGCGAGTGAAGCGTGGGGTATTGCGTGTTTACGTTACGAAATCCGTGACATTCGTTTGCCAACACGTGTGCATGAAGCTATGCAAATGCAAGTAGAAGCAGAACGACGCAAGCGTGCGGCTATACTGGAGTCTGAAGGTAGTCGCGAAGCTGAAATTAATATTGCTGAGGGTAAAAGAAAATCACGTATACTTGCTTCCGAAGCCGAACGACAGGAACAAATCAACAAAGCGAGTGGTGAAGCGGCTGCTATGTTGGCCGTAGCAGATGCACGTGCTCGTGGACTGCAAACTGTGGCAAAAGCTTTGCAGGATTTAGATGGCAAAAATGCAGCTTCGCTCACCTTAGCTGAGCAATACATCGATGCGTTTGGAAATTTAGCGAAAACCAATAACACTCTCATACTGCCATCTAATCCTGGCGATGTAACATCATTGGTCTCACAAGCTTTAAGCGTTTATCAAACAATTTCAAATGCAAATGTTGGAAACCATAAAAATTTGCGCAGCGCCGAAGATATATATGAGAACAGTAGTGATGAACTTAAATGTAAACAGAACAAGAATGTAAAATTGAAGAAAATGGAAATTGAGTAATTGAGGAACGATAAAGTGAACTATGAATTGTAATAAAATTGCAATTTGTGCGTTGTATTGTTGAATGCTATACTTTTCTTTTGGGGGTATTTGCACAACCTTGGCAGAAAATATGTATTGCATATATATATCATAGTAGGGTTATGTTCATCTTTATACATACATATGTAAGTATGTACCTATTTTCTTGGTTTAATTTTGTATATGAGATCTCGAAAAAATGATACATAATATCTTTAAAAAGCAATTAAACAATTTTAAGCACTCCTAAATAAAAATTACTATATTAACCTTTTTGTGTCATTGATACATATGTACATACACATTATTAGGTAAAGTAACATGGCGCGTTATTTAATTTAAATTGTTGTACATATATGGTCGATTTTATGTATAACTTAGAGCAGCTACCCAGTCGGACTTGGCTGCTTCCAAGCAGTAGTTCCAAAAAAATTAAGTCTTTATTTCTCTTTTATACAGGCATGAAACACAGCAAGAAGGCAATTTTGCATGATGTGGTTGTTGTTGGTTTGGAGAGCTTTGTAGAGTTTTTAATCTCTTTCGGATTTATTTGTCGAAGTCAAAAAAGGATTACAAAATTCTGACTTTAGCAGTGAAGTTTTCACGACCTACAGATTTTTAGCGTTCCAATAGTAGTGAAAAAATACTTTAGTTATTTCTTTATGTATATTTTTCCAATCTTTGGTGAAATTATTTTTTTCCAATATTTTCGGTAAAATAAAGATTATTTATACAATGACCATGACCATACAACCATGTTGATCTCTTCGCCAACGTGAAAAACGAAGACAATGGGTATGTAGATACTATGAATGTATATTCCTTATCTTAACTTTACGGCATTTACAAATTGACGAGAGTTGATAATTTGTCTTAATATTTTTAATGTTCCTTATTTGTTTATAAAAATTAGTATAATCTTTAACAAAAACCATATAAATCCAAGCTTGATTCTTTTGCAACATTTGAAAAAAAAAATCAACCAACTTTCGTAAAAATTTCGAACTTTTTAGTTCGATATTTAAGAAATATTTCCCATTCAATTTTACTGCAAGTTTAAAGTAACTGACTTTTGGCATTTTTTTTTATTGATGTTAGTTGTTGTTGTTGTTGTTGTAGCGGCACTACTAAGCCCCGCCTGTTTCGGGTCAACTTTTAATCATTATCGTCAAGCTCAACTAACGGTAGGCCCAGGAAACGAGCTGTTTCGATGGGTCGGATAGTCGGATTGAGCTGGCATGTGAAGAGGTGGTTGGTGTCGTGGGGGGAGTCTCCACATGCCGGGCACTCATTTGGGATGTTTGGGTCGAGTCTGGACAGGTAGCTGTTTAGGCGGCTACAATATCCAGACCGTAACTGAGCCAGGGTAACGCGGGTCTCTCTAGGTAACTGAAGCTCCGTCTCTTCCACAGGTGGTGATTGGGCTCCGATAACGACATTCCTAGGCCGGGAGTCGAGGTAGGTGGAGACAGACTCCCTGTGAATGTCGTTGATCGCTCGTCTGTACGTCATTGGGTTCAGTGGTTGGTCTGTGTAGGTCTGGACTGCGTCCTTGTACATGAATAGGTGCCCCCTGACGTGCCTGGGCGGAGGCTCCTCCTCCAGCAGTGGTCTGTTGGGGTGTTCACTTCTGTGACACCCCACAAGAAACTGCTTACAGAGCATCTTGTTGTGTTCCCTTACGTGGAGCACTTGGGCCTCACTGTGTAGGTGATGCTCAGGCGTCATCAGAAGGCACCCAATCGCTGTCCGGAGTGCGGCGTTCTGACAAGTCTGTAGCTTCGTCCACTGCGTCCAACTAGTCCCCGGCGACCAAACTGGCGCAGCATAATTTAGAATGAGAAAAATCTTCAACGAGAAAAATTGCCAAAAATTAATGGTAATTGGAATTGGGTTACAAAACTGCATACTCAAAATATTTCTAAAAAATCGAATTAAAAAGCTCGAAATTTTTGCAAAGTTTGTTAATTTCTTTTTTAATTTTGCACAAAGGTTGAAACTTGGATTTATGTGGTTTTTGTTAGAAAATATACTATGTTAAAAAATAAATAAATTTAAAAAATATTAAATGAAATTGTGAAATCTAGTCATTTTGATAAGCATGCTAGTATGTATTAAAACACACCTTCAATTAAAATTTTAAGAGTTAGTACTAAAAACAAAGGAGTTACACGCCACCTTTTAAAATGCCCTACCGGTTGTTGTTGTTGTTGTAGCGGCTACAACAACCCCGCCCAGATCGGTTGGTATCTCAGTCGTTGTCGTCAAGTTCCACTAACGGCAACCCTAGGAAGCGTGCAGCTTCTGTGGGGTTTGTCCACAGGGACAAGGCCGTTAGGGTTGTCGGGTTTTCCGGGCATGCGAAGAGATGTTTCGAGTCATGTGGGGTCTCTCCGCATGCCGGACACTCATTCGGCACATCCTCATTCAACCTACTCACGTCGTACGTGGCCCCCTATTGCTCAAACAGAGCAGCCTCCACGGCTAACCATAGTCCGTCCGAGCAGCCCCACACACTCACACAGCAGCCACACACAGTCACCACAACACAACAACATAATAACACCACAGACCGTACCACAGCCACTACAGAGCCACATAACACACAACCGCACCACCACCCACACGCCGCCGCCAACAACTCCTGGTTCCCCCTACAATCTGCTCGGTATGTCAGACCAGGATATTCCGTAATGTGACATCAGTCAAGTGCAACACCTGCCTTGGCTGGTGCCACTTTAGGGCATGCTCAGATCTGCGTACCACGCGAGATTGGACGGGGAACTTCGAGGGCCCGTGTTGCGCTGCTCGGTCGCAGACTCCAATTGCGACGCCCCCCACCACCACCACAGGGCGGCAATCACCTCAGCAGCACACACAGCC